TACATTCACCTGTGTAGTCAAATTCTTAAAGGAATCTTGCGCGGAAAATTCTTGCACTCTTTCCTAACATGAATATGTCAGTTGTGATCACTGGAAATAGCACACAAAGTTTCACGCATGAAGATTCGGTTTCTGAAGAGAAACAAACGTACAAAAACTACACGTTATGGACCATCGAAGGACCAGGAGGCAGAGCCAGGCGAGGCATGGAAAGAAGACGGCGTTTGGCCGGCTACGTACCAGGCGACGCAATGAGAGAATCGGGTTAAAGCGCGCGATTTCGGAGAGTGGAGACAAATCGATCGATGGAATAGGATGGAGTAGAAGTGTAAGATGTGAATGCAACGAAGCAGAAGGCCAGAAAGAGCTTCTAGTGAATGCACTCCAAGAACCAAGTTTGAGCATCCCCGTCGCCAGCATTCGTGAAAGACGTCCGTGGGCAATTCGAACGCGTAGCAGCCTTTTCGAGTTTTCGAATTTCTAATCAAAACGAAAGCAATACTTCAGTTCTTTTCACTATTATCGTGGATAATGAGTCTCAAGCCAGTGATTTATGGCTGAAATAGAATCATGATTTTTCCGCGCAAGATTCCTTTAATTGATTGCTGTCACTCAATTGCGACATTTGTAATTTTTTTTTGGGCAAGTTTAAAAAAGGGCTGTGTCTGAACATCCTGAATGGATAGAGAGTCCGAATTCGGAGATATGGGCTTCTCGTTTTCGTGAAAGCTCTTTCCACTTTAGGATTTTGTGAGTGCAAGAATTACATGTCTGAGATGGTGGGAGTAAACCACCCAGTATTATACTGGGTTTTCTCTCAGCCTCACACTTACGGACTGATAGTGAAATAAGTTCATGCTAGAGTTCCCCGGTTGCAAAAGCTCTGCTCCTACTAACGCGCTCTTGACTTCATTTCCATTGTCGGCTGGAACCCATCCTCGCTGCCAACATGGCCTTGGATGCTTTTTGATTTTTTTTCACGTCGATATCCTTGACAGAAGTTCATGACGGCATGTGGAACTTTGTATCCCATGTGTTTTCGTATTACGACTTCCGTTGCGGGTTCCTAAAAATGCTGGTAGTTTTTCGTCCATCTGCCCGCATCACGTCCGTCACGCTCAGTTTTCGCAGGATTTAGCGAATGAAGTCCAATCCATCAGTTCCTTCCTCGCCGACCCACTTAACGTTGTGGTCTAATACCTTGATGAACTCAGCAGAGTCATGAGAACCCTTTTTGGGGCAGTTTTTGCAAACTTTGATGAGCTCATCCATTATTTTCTCCTGAAAGGAGGTGGATCCGAAGTGAAGGCGTTCGAAAATGATGGTGACAGCAAGTCTTTCTTAGAGAATATTGCATAGGTCCAGTTATTCCATGCAGTGCCGCATGAAAAGGCCAAAGCCAACCGCCAGGACATCTAAGCGTTGGAGTGGACTTGTTTGGACGCACCTTGGAAATCGCTCAGTCTAAAGATCGCTGCTCTTTTTGGTAATTTTAGGAATACTGTGAGTGCGCGATTATATCCAGGTGGCTAATACATACTGAAACTGAGCGAGTGTATTAGGTGAGAGTATATTAACACCTTTGCAGGATTTGTTCTTTGAAAATTTTGTTCTTGGAACAATTTCCCTATAGTACATTTGTGCAGCGTTGAGGCTCAGTCAATGCAGAAGAGCAGAAAGTGCATTACTATGGCAATGAAGTTGCCTAGTGCAGTACGTTGTTAACGCTGTTGAAAGAGGAAAAACCCGTCCTAGCGATCTGTCAGTGAAGGGATTCACCTACTCAGCTCCTTTGAAACAACGTTCTTGTTACTTGTACCTTCGGTGTGTAAAAATAAAAGGCGCTGAGATCTTCGGACTACTGGCTTAACTGTCGTAATAAATCTATTCAAGGGCGACCAAGCTTCTCAATCTCTTCACTTGAGATGCTTTTTATGTTTCAACTTTTGTGCTTGTTATTGCTTAGCTTGATCAGAAATACTTGCCGCTGAGTACCTACTTATTTTCATTGAAGCAGCGGTCATTTAGAGGCACAAAAATAATGGCTGTGAAGCATATAAATATTGATAGCGGGGGGGGAGGGGGTTGAACTTCCATCTTTTCTACTTGGCTATGCATTTCCTGCGGAAAAGGTATTGTGAATCACCAACTGAGGGAGTGCTCATCCTCACGGCTTGATATAACCATTTAATTGTTCTAGAATAGGAATAAGCACGTCACCCAAATAAATGAGTTTCTTTATGCTCCTATTCACTGAGCTGAATAAATTGCGCTTCGGAAAATGTGCAAGAAAAATTGATTGCGGGCGAAAATAGATTGCGTATTTCTAAATCTCAGTCAGTGGCGACTGGGCTATCAAGCAGCAACCGCCAATTTTTTTTTTGGTTGTGAATTTTTGTGTTTTTATTCTTTTTTTTTTTGTTCATCCATAGCTTGGCCATAGTGGTGTGAAAAAATCGCGGGGTAATAGTGTATCTGTTGGGATTTTGTTTGAATTTCACATCTGAAATAAGTTGTTATAGATTAAGCAACAATTCCTTAGGCTTCAAAGTGGGCGTAGATTTTTGAAATACGAGGGTACCTTTAACACGTTGACGACATTGTGCAGCGCATGCGCATCACACCTTGAGCACCGTGTGGGACCGTGTGCAGCGCATGCGCTGCACACACAAAATATTTATTTTTTCGCGCGCATGCGCTACTTCTTTTCTAATTTTTTTGCATCTATTCCATAGACTACACCATAATATGACTAGACACGGCGAGGTTCATTGAATGGTTGAATATGCTCCTTTTTAGCGAAGGTTTTCTAAGCCCTACGAATTTCCCAATTGTGTTCATTCCTAGTTTCCTTTATATTCTGATAATCTTGGTCATAAAAAAGAGCAGTAGAAGTAAGTACAGACCCACACATATAGCAAGACATATGTTTTTAGTGGAGCAACCGCGTCAAAAATAATTTTGAGGTTCACTGCAGCAAAAGCAACTGAAACTTGCCTTTCATCGCCAGAAAACGTCAATTCGATCGATTTTTTACAGTTGTCCCTTCTGATAAGTTTGACACATCGAATATCATTCTAAACATTTTGTTGCATCCGAGTTTTGGGTATTTAAAGCTCAAAATTCACGGATTTGATGTGAGGCGGCGGCGCCTGCAAAATCGCCGTGGTCCCACGCGGCGCAAAAACCCAAAACGCGCGTTGTCGTCAACGTGTTAACGACCAAGGCATTGACCTGAATCATGTATGAAATGGTTTACCGGTTGTTTAACACCCGTTGTTTACCATCGCTAGTCTTTTTTTTTCTATAAACAACTTAGCAGGCCTGGTGCGTGTAAGCATTGGAACGTTTTCATTAGTATGATCAATTACTGAAAAATTAATTTTGGGAAAACTGTACTATTTTCTGTATCCAATACCTACGTGGTCGCATATTGTGAAGGAAAATACGTAGGCGGTACAATTTAAAATCAAAAAAGAAGTTTTCTCTGGGTCAAAGTGCGGGACGTATTTGTCTCGCGTTGTCGTCGATGTTTTAAAGATGGAAGTATAATAGTTCTTTGTGTTCCACTGCTGCTGCCAGATTCAAAATACGTTGGCGGAAAAGTATGAAATTTATTTATGAAATTTGATGGCATTTACAGCCATGGATTGGCTCAAAATTTGTAACGTGCTGAATGTGTAACGATTGTTGAATAGAAAGGGTCGCTTTGAGTTTTGAGCTCACTCATTTTAAAAAAAATTCTTTTGATCTGACCACTCAAAATTTGTGAATTTCAGTGTACGCTACTGGCACTGCTCCACATCCTCACACTCCGCAAACTCCACAACCGCCGTATACTCCTAACGGTCAGTTTACTGGTTTGTGAACGTTTTTGGAATAATTTGACATCGATTCGTCGTTTGTTTTATTGTTAACTGATGTTTTTCAATGGCAGAAGAAAGCTTGGAAAGAGAGAAAAAGTTTGATAAAAAAAAAATAAGTCGCTCCCATCACTTGAACATTTCATAGATAACATTGCTTTGATAGCATAAACAGCGGTTGCCATCAGACCTGGACGGAAGCGCTGCTCGCATTATTGTCTGAACCTCTGTGGCTATTGCATGCACCGAGCGATTTCAAATGGCTTATGATCCTCCAGTGAAACGTTGAATTTTCCCTTATATTGAGTAGGAAAGTAGTCTAGCGGCAACTGGTACAGATTATCACGTGCACGGCCCGGTGTTCGAATCCTGAACTGTACACCGTCAGACCAACCGAGCAGGCTTCCCCTTCGAGATTCATGAAATTGGGGTCCTGTTTTGGAAGGATCAAAACACTGACTTATACATCAGCGTGACGCCATGGCAAGTGCACTTCATTTGGTAAAGGGGCAGGTTAAATCAGCACTCAAGATCGCTACGGTGATCTAAATAAAGCAGGATGTCATGCCGGCTTCTGAAAAAGTCCAGGGTTCTGCCGAATGCTCACTTTACTGATGGTGAGTAAGCATTTGATAGTCCCCCGATAGCCTGTTTTAGATGATATTGAATGGCGTGCCTAAGTGGAATTAAGCCTTCGCGTGTTATTGTCACTTGCAGCTCTTCTCACGGCACTTGCGGAGTTAATATTCGTCCTGCTAGATTTGTAATATGGCTTTGAAGTAGGATCGCTTGCAACAATTCATAGCTGCCTTTTTTTAGTGAACATTTACCTTGTCTGCAAAGGGATTTTCATAGAATGATTTTTTGAAATTTTTTCACACTAGGGCAGGTGGTTGCTTCCTTTTTAAAAAATTAAATCACTAATTGATTGGTTTCTTCTGTATATGCTTTAGATGATATTTAACTGTTTCTGTTTCTTTGTATCATTCAGACACTGAGACCTTCAACTTTCCATTTCCCGTAATTTATTTTTTTTTAATTTCGAAAGGCACTGCTCAATACTACCCGACGAAATTGACGCCCTTCGCGTTTTCTTCCCATATTGCCCTCTTTGAGGAGAAAAGCTATGCATTTAAAGTGGCTCTGAATCTTAAATACATTCGGGCCTCTTTCTTCACCAGCGTTTATCGTACTGTGTTAACTCGCTCCAAAGTTCTAGGTTGTTTTTTAGTAATGAAAGGGTCTTAGAACCTATGCGTCTGGATTTCTGCTTTTATGAAAGCTAGAAGCTAAGATTTTTGATTTTTTTCCCTAGATTTTCCTGGGATTTCATTTAGCTGATATTATTTCGTCGCCCATTCTTTTATAGCGGTCTTTGACAACGGGTCATCTTTAGTTTCCACGGAATTATCTGCTTTTTATTTGTAATAATTACCCTTTGATTTCGAAAATCAGATGCGCGTCGAGTACCAGACCACACACCACAAGTGACGACGGTCTCCGAGTAAACTTGTTTAGTGACATCTTGATGATGTAGGCTGATAGGGATTTGAAAAAAAATGGGCGCAAAAAAAAAAAGTTTTTAAATAAAAAGTTTATAGCAACCGTAGAATCACAACCTCACCGCAACGCAGATTATAAATTTAATTGTCAAACATTTACATTTCGTGGAGATGCGTCGTCACTTGTGGTGTGTGGTCTGCAACTTCGACCGCATCTGGTTTCTGAAGGGCAGAGGGTAATAATCCCCGTCCTCTCTTCGGTCCACAATCGTTACGTAGTTTTACCAACGATTGCTGAGCGGTAACGCAATCTTGTCCGTTGTGGGGCCGAAGAGTTCGCATAAAAACGGAAAAGAAACGCAATAGGGTTATAATTGTGAAGCGCTGTGGCTTAGGCAGGCATGTAATGCCCGCAAGCCCCCCGCCCGAACCAAGGTGGCACCCCGGCAGTTAGCGCCAACGTTGTGTGCTGCGTGACTCTTCGTTTCAATCTCCTTCTCGTTCCATGGTTGTCGGCTTTCTCATATGGCGCAAAAATCCCTGTTTGAATTGACACCATCTAGTCGCCAAAATCAACTATCCTATAGTGCTTATGGGCAGAGCTTTTTCGACAGCTTCATTTGGGCATTTTTTTAGCTGTCTGGTCAAATCACCCACCCAATAAAACATACGCGCTGCGTTCGCTTGAATTTGGTGCCGCCCAATATTATCTAAGATTCGCAGAATCTGGCCATATTGCGGTGGAAATGCCTCTGCGGTTTCCTCGCCAGTCATGGCAGTACCGTTTGAAACGTTTGGACTAAAATATGCGTTTTATAGAAGCACGTTCAAGTGAGGCGTAGCTTCCTCAATTCTAGGTTTTCACATGGTTTTTAGGTTACTGAGCATGAAAGAAGATTCGGCGGCATGAGAGAATCGAGTGATGCATTAATCATTTGAGGACGCGGAGGGTCACGTATGAAAGAGAATAGCTAAACAAAAAGCGCTATGCAAATGTCATCTTCCTCATTCTAGACAAACTCGGAAGCATTCAACAGAGTGTTGGCGGCGTTGTGGCGTTCCATGCTCAGTGGTTCCAATCCCACATACCTCTTCTCTTCAAAATGCAGAGTGATCGCCTTTGATCAGTACAGTCCTGGCATGCGCCATGTACTAGGTTTCCATTCTTGGACGTAAGTAATCTTGAATGGCTGTCCTTGCCGCTGTAATGAAATTCAAGCGGGAGTTCAAGTCCTATCATGCAAGATCAATTTTAATTCTATTCTGTCTGGCGTCAATAAGCCAACCTCAAGAGAATGAAAAGCTCGCTCTCTTCGGGTGAGATTCTTTCCCAAGAACATTCTCTGGAGTGTTACAATTGCGATCATCCGCTTTAATGTGTGCTTTTTGGAATTGAAATTCTTTGTTTTCCTTCTCAAAATTCCAAAAATGATTTGTTAAATGCATATAATGTTATAATTTTATTACAGGATCGCGATTTTCTCAGCCGACGGCATCACCCCACTACGCGGCTGACATGAGGTCACCACCGTTGATGTCGCCAACACAAGCACCAATGGCGCCCCAGGCAGCCATGCCACGTCCAGTGAGCAATGGTACGTGTGCTGAATGAATCTTCGAGAGCTTTTTTGCAAATAAAGAGTAGATACTGAAAAAAGCCGAGCTGTGATCATCTCAGCATTGGAAAGCTAACATCCTCTGCGAAAATCCCATCTTCTTCATTTCGTTTTCTCACGACGGTAATTAGCCGTCCACTTTTCTGCCTGACTTATGACTCAGTGTTCACAAAATTATGAACAAAATGGCGGAGTTGATGTGGCGGCAAGTAGTGTCACTTACTGCTGGTGAAATAACGGATCGAACAGGCCAACCAAGTCTACCCTTTTCCAGAATCTTCTGTTGGTGGGCGCAAAGGTTGATAATTTCAACTTGTGGCATGAGCGTGGCCACTTGCAGCTTATCGTGTATACTAAAGCCGCATGCAAAGCCGCTCCAACAGTTTTTGTACTAGTAGGCTGCGTGGCGCATCCCAAAAAGGCATAGATCAACGCCGATTGTTTTTATTATTTAACGCAACAATGTTTTGGTTCGTCAATTGTTTTTCCTTTTGCGAATCTCATTTTACACCAGCTCAAGCATTGGTTGGCAGGAGGGGAGGGGAAGGGGGGGTAGTATTATGGGTGGAAGTATTATGAGACTCATTTTTTTCATGTTCATTTTCAGCGCGGTAAGTAGTCATACCTCAGAGAATTACGTGGCTTCAAATCTAGCCACCATGTGCACCAAGATGGCTCGAAGTTTTCCATTCTCTCTCATTTTTTTCTGAGTTAAGATTCGCTTTTTTGCAGGCCGAAATGTCAACAACAACGCAATCCGTATGGTTCCACACGCAACAACTCGGATGAATTCCTAGGCCAGTCTTCACGGTATGAACCGATAAATTCTTAAATGAATGGTAAGCTTTTTTTCCCGTTTACGATTTCGTTCTATTCGATTTTTAGTTGTTCTATCAAACTGAGGGCCTTCTTGGAAACAGAATCCGCTATTTCTTCATAAGGAAAGCTAGCTCACTTGTGAATTTAGGAAATGGTTTCTCAAGAAGAAGCTATGGTATTTCAGTTCATCCGGATATTTGCTTGGCGGGTTGTGTATTGCATATGTTCGATATGGATCGCATGTTCACGGATAAACTGGACCTACCAAATATTGTGTTGGCAATCCGAATGCACGGCGGGGATATAGAATTTGGAGCAAAGGCCTATGCGGAGCGAGCCGGGGCGATTACGCACGTCATTGTCGAGTCTATAAGGACCCAACACGCCCATCTGGTGCGCAGCTTACTGTCTTCTTTAGTTTTCTGTTTTAGTTTGCTATTCAACTCTTAATTTTTATTGCCATTTCACTAGCTACCCCGACACCCTTTGTGTGTCTACCCTCTTTTTTATTTTAATTACTAAAAATTTCATTATTGGGAATGAGTATACTATTTTCTGAATCCAGTACCACACACGGTCCATTTAGGAAATGAAAATATGTAAAGGTACAATTTGATCAAAAAGGGTTTCCTCTATGGAAGTGCGAGACGTATGTGTCCCGCGTTGTCGTCGATGTGTTAATGATAATAGTAGTTATCTTTCTGTGTTCCACTGCTGCTGCCAGATTCAAAATACGTTGAAGGAAGAGTATGAAATTTATTTATGAAATTTGGTGGCATGGCCAGCCGTAATTGGATCAATTTGGTAACGATGCTGAATATGTAAAGTTGTTAATTAGAAAGGGTCGTTTTAGGGTTTTGAGTTGATTCTTTTGATCTGATCTGACCACTCAAAATTTGTGAATTTCAGTGTACGCTACTGGCACTGCTCCACATCCTCACACTCCGCAAACTCCGCAACCGCCGTATACTCCTAACGGTCAGTTTACTGGTTTGTGAACTTTTTGGAATATTTTGACATCGATCGTTGTTGTTTTTATTGCTAATGTTGTTTTTCAATGGCAGAAGAAAGCTTGGAAAGAGAAGAAAAGTTTGATAAAAAAAATAACTCGCTCCCAGCACTTGGACATTTCATGGATATCGCCTTGAACAAAACCAGCGATTCCATCTGACCTGGGTCAACTTTTTAATGCCAGACTCGTGAGGAATGACAGAAGCACTGTCCGCAATATTATTCGGACCTTCGTGGCGAGCATATGTACCAAATGCTCTTTCAAATGGCCTATTATTCTCAGCGAAACTTGAATGTGTGCAGATTCCAATTCTTTCCTTGTGGTTGACTACGAAAGTGGTGTAGCGAGAAGTGGCGCCGCTTACCACGCGCGCGGTAGAGAGCTCGAAGAACTGTACGCTGTCCATCAACCGAGCTCTTCATCCCTTCGGGATTGCTATCAGACTTGTTTGGAAGGATCAAAACACTGACTTATCAATTGACCCTGCAAGTCACTCATTGTACAGGTAAATTCACATTCAAATCCTGCGGTGATTCCGAATAGAAGCAAGATGCATGGCTCATCTGAAAAAGTCACAGGGGTATGCCGAATGCTCAAACTTTTACTGGGTAGCATTTGATAGCCTTGCTTTAGATCATATTGAATGGCGTGCCTAAGTGGAATTAAGCCTTCGCGTGTTATTGTCACTTGCAGCGCCTCATTCTCCGGCACTTGACGGAGTATACGTATCGTCCTGCTAGATTTGTAATATGGCTTTGAAGTAGGATCGCTTGCAACAATTCATAGCTGCCTTTTTTTAGTGAACATTTACCTTGTCTGCAAAGGGATTTTTATATAAAGATTTTTTGAAAATTTTTCACACTAGGGCAGGTGGTTGCTTCCTTTTTAAAAAATTAAATCACTAATTCGATTGGTTTCTTCTGTATATGCTTTAGATGATATTTAACTGTTTCCGTTTCTTTGTATCATTCAGACACTGAGACCTCCAACTTTCCATTTCCCGTAATTATTTTTTTTTAATTCCGAAAGGCACTGCTCAATACTACCCGACGAAATTGACGCCCTTCGCGTTTTCTTCCCATATCGCCCTCTTTGAGAGGAAAAGCTATGCATTTAAAGTGGCTCTGAATCTTAAATACATTCGGGCCTCTTTCTTCACCAGCGTTTATCGACTGTGTTAACTCTTCCAAGTTTTAGTTGTTTTTAATATGAAGCTTAGAGACCTTGTCTGGATTCCTCTTTTTGAAACTAGAACTAGTTTTTTGATTTTTTTTCCTAAATTTTGCTGGGATTGCATTTAGCTGATATTATTTCGTCGCCCATTCTTTGAGAGCGACCTTTGACAACGGGTCACCTTTAGTTTCCACGAAATTATCTGCTTTTCATCTGTAATAGGTTACCCTTGATTCCGAAAACCAGATGCGCTTCGAGTACAGACCACACACCACAAGTGACGACAGTCTTCAAGTAAATTTGTAACAAGTAATTCATGATGACGGCTGATAGTTGATGAATGAGAGTTAGTTCGCAACAACTGTAGAACACAACCGCAACCGATTAGTAATTTCATTGTCACAAAACATTTACATTCGCGAAGACCGTCGTTCACTTGTGGGTGTAGTCTGCACTCGACACGCATCTGGTTTTCGACAGTAGAGGGTAAATATCTTCCCCTGCTCTACGGCCATCGTTATAGTAAATTATACGATTGCCTGAGCGGTACAATCTTATCCGTTTGTGGGGTCGAATAGTTGCATGAAAACGGAAAAAATGATATGTTATAGTTATGAAGGCGCTATGCATACAGGAGCCTGTGTCGCCCTCAACCCCTGCCAACAAGTGCATCCCGCAGTTTACACCCGTTTGTCTGAGTCTCCTCATTCCTCTTCTTTCTCGCTACCCTGTTGTAGGCTTCTCTATACGGCACGCAATCCTGTGTGCCATACACATTCGCAATATCAACTATCAAGTAAGTCTTATGCAGAGCATTTTCAATACTTCCTTTTGCATTTTTTTATTGTCTGATCAAATCACCCCAACAACCATATCCTGCGCCTTAATTTGGCTCTTCAATATTTATCTAGGATTCCAACAATCTAGCATGTTGCAAAGTCCTCCCTGGTTCCCTCGACCAGTCATGGAGTACCGTTTGAAACGTTTGGACTAAAATATGCGTTTTATAGAAGCACGTTCAAGTGAGGCGTAGCTTCTTCAATTCTAGGTTTTCACATGGTTTTTAGGTTACTGAGCATGCAAAGGAAAGAAGATTCGGCGGCATGAGAGAATCGAGTGATGCATTAATCATTTGAGGACGCGGAGTGTCACGTATGAAAGAGAATAGCTAAACAAAAAGCGCTATGCAAATGTCATCTTCCTTTCTCTAGACAAACTCGGAAGCATTCAACAGAGTGTTGGCGGCGTTGTGGCGTTCCATGCTCAGTGGGTTCCATCCCTACATACCTCTTCTCTTAAAATGCAGAGTGATCGCCTTTGATCAGTTCAGTCCTGGCATGCGCCATGTACTAGGCTGCCATTCTTGGACGTAGTAATATTTGAATGCTATCTTGCCGCTGTAATGAATTCAGCGGGAGTCAGCCTATATGCAGATCAATTTTAATTCGATTCTGTCTGGCGCCAATAAGCCAACCTCAAGAGAATGAGAAGCTCGCTCTCTTCGGGTGAGATTCTTTCCCAAGAACATCCTCTGGAGTGTTACAATTGCGATCATCCGCTTTAATGTGTGCTTTTTGGAATTGAAATTCTTTGTTTTCCTTCTCAAAATTCCAAAAATGATTTGTTAATCGTATAATATTATAATTTCATTACAGGATCGCGATTTTCTCAGCCGACGGCATCACCCCACTACGCGGCTGACATGAGGTCACCACCGTTGATGTCGCCAACACAAGCACCAATGGCTCCCCAAGCAGCCATGCCACGTCCAGTGAGCAATGGTACGTGTGCTGAATGAATCTTCGAGAGCTTTTTTGCAAATAAAGAGTAGATACTGAAAAAAGCCGAGCTGTGATCATCTCAGCATTGGAAAGCTAATCCTCTGCGAAAATCCCATCTTCTTCATTTCGTTTTCTCACGACGGTAATTAGCCGTCCCTTTTCTGCCTGACTTATGACTCACTTGTCAGTGTTCACAAAATTATGAACAAAATGCGGAGTTGATGTGGCGGCAAGTAGTGTCATCTCTACTGAACTGGATGAATAAAGATCGCACAGGCCAACCAAAGCTACCCTTTTCCAGAATCTTCTGTTGATGCCAGGTTCAAGTAGATAGGTGAAACATTTCAACGTGTTAACATGAGGCTGCACCGCATTTATTCGTGTATCCTAACGTCATCCAACGCCTGCCACAGTTTGTACATAGAGGCTGTCGTGGCGCAACCAAAAAGAATGGATCAAAACGCAGATGTTTTATTATTTTTAACCGCAACAATGTATTTGTTCGTCAATCTTTTCTTTTGCGAATGCTGCTCATCTTCAGCCAGCTCAAGCATTGGATGCAGAGGGAGGCGGGGAGGGGGAGGGAGTATTATGAGACTCATTTATTTCATGTCATTTTCAGCGCGGTAAGTAGTCATACCTCAGAGAATTACGTGGCTTCAAATCTAGCCACCATGTGCACCAAGATGGCTCGAAGTTTTCCATTCTCTCTCATTTTTTTCTGAGTTAAGTTTCCTTTTTTTCAGGCGAAATGGTCACACAACCAATCCGTATGGTTCCAACCCCGCAGCAACCGGTGATTCCTAGCCAGTTTTTCACGTATGAACCGAATCTTCTTATGAATGGTAGGCTTCTTCTCGTATCGACTCGTTCTATTCGATTTTTAGTTGTTCTAACTCAGCTAGCCATTGATTGATCAGCAAATGCTCTCTTCTCATAAAAAAGCTTATGCCTCGCTGGGCATTTGGAAAGTTTTTCCTCACCAGAAGATGCTAGGTATTTCAGTTCATTATTCCGGATATTTGTTTGGCGGGATTTATGTGTATTGCATATGTTCGACATGGATCGCATGTTTACGGATAAATTGGACCTACCAAATATTGTGTTGGCAATCCGAATGCACGGCGCGGGAATATAGAATTCGGAGCAAAGGCCTATGCGGAACGAGCCGGGGCGATTACGCACGTCATTGTCGAGTCTATAAGAACCCAGCACGCCCATCTGTGCGCAGTTTATTGTCTTTTTCTTTTTCTGTTTTAATTTAATTTCTACTGTGATTTTCATTGCCATTTCACTAGCTACCTTCCCAATAGGCCAAATTGCTTTTAGGCCCTGAAATCGCAAACGCTGTGAAAACTGCAGGGTTGAGGGATGTTCTAATGAAAGAAACAAATGATGCCCTGGCGATCACATTTACCGTCGTTTCACTGACTTGCTGCAGGACCGTTATAGGGCAGGTGTTGTTAAAAATGGCTTCAAAAACTACAATTCGAGCATTTCCATTCGCCCCTCAGACTACCCCGCTGCATTCTAAGTCTCTTTGAGTGAAACTTGGAGTTTGAAGATTCTGAGAACAGCGCTTTCTCCACGTTGATTCTTCTCGTGGCATTCGACGAAAGAAGGGCCCGCGATGAATTCATGTGGAGGCCATGGGACGAGGTCACCCGTACCTTAGCCGTCACAATAATATTCTTATTGCTAAGTCGTTAGTTGTTTAACGATTTCATCTCATTTATCTAATCTTTTTTCTATATTGTGGTATTCAATATTTACTGCTTATGGTCGGTTTTCCTATAGATTGAAAGGTTTTTTTAGCGTCATTCTTGCGCCTCCTGTTGGCTTCACTTGACCAATTCTTACGTTCAGCCATCAATTTATTTAGTAATGTTATTGTAGTGGTGATGATGAATAATATCGGTTCAATTTTCGAATTCTAACTTCCATGTTTACAGCGGTGGCGTTGAAAAAGTCGAGAAGGCACGTGAATGGGATATCCAAGTGGTTAATTATCAGTGGCTGGCTGACAACTATGCTGGTCAAAGGGTGGAAGCTGATAATCACAACCGTATCAGGTTTGTTCCCATGGAGAGCTTTGCGGTGATATTATTTCTTGAAGATAAAACCTAATTTCTGTTACCGCCTGTCAGTCATGTGATGGGGTCTCGCCGGGTCCGTATGCATTGGAAATGATTAACGATCAGTTCAAGCAGCTTCTTCGTGAGTTTTTCTGAGAGCATACATATTTATCTTCAACAACGCGGTTTAAAAATATTAGTATGGTCTTTTCCGCTACTCAAGCCTGACTTAGTGTATAACAGCATATACTTTGCCTTATTTGTTATTTTTTGACTTCTCTATTTTTATTCATTTAAGAATTTGTTAGCATTCTGTTTCGCTATCTCATTATTGCTTATTTAGTTGTTACTCATATGCATCCTTTCGTGTAAACGTTGCGTCGTTTGTAATAAATATTTAGGAATCTCCAATTTTGTAATAAATATTTAGGAATCTCCAATTGTAAATAATTGTAAATAAAATAAATAAATTACTAAATCTCGAATTGTTTTTTTTACATTTGAGGTGCGCATACAGTTTATAATCACTAACATTGTTTTTCTTAGTTGCTTGGAAAATGCCGCTGATTGTATCCCCCGAGCAATGGCGACGTTCGTTTGATACTAAGCAAGCGGTCGAGAACGATGAAGGCGTCTTCCCGAATAAGAAGTTGCGGTCAGTGGAAATCTTTTTTTCCATGTTTTTCTCGTTTTCCTGAAATTATAATATTTGAACTGTCAACCGTAATTTACCTTTGGGCGTCGACATCGCTCGCTTTTCATTTTTTCGTGTCGGCAGTGTTGCGAATCATCACATTTCGGTAAAGCGCTACCAAAGTGACACATTCATGGTCGTGGCAAGAGAACGAGTTGCGTCAATTTGCGAAATCTTAATGTCTGTGGCCAAAGAAGTAACTTCAGAATCCAATCAGCGCTCCAAGTGAAGCGGAAATCGCGGCCTAAAGCAAGGAACACAAGAAGTCCGGCACCACGCATCCCGCATACGTGGTTGCGTTCAGTGGAATCGATGATGAAAATAAGCATGTCTTAACTCAGGTAAATCATTGTTCATGTTTTATTGCCTAACAGCTTTCCAAAACCATGTTTATTTATTCTATTTTATTTATTTACTTTTTGCTATTTTGTGATTTCAAATAATTGAAGCATTCAGTATGCGGTAACTATCGGTACATTGTTCAGAAACTCCGATATTTGGGCGGGCGAGCGTGTGAGGAGGTGTCTGAATGTACACACCTGGTGACAACGAATGGTCGTCGCACGGAGCGGCTACTGGAGGCGATTTGTTTGGGCAAAAACATCGTGAATCCTTACTGGATAGTGCACGGATATGAATGTCGACAGTGGATGGGTTGGTATTCTCATTTGCTCCATTTTTACTATTTACGCTGCCCCTATATAAACGGAAAAACATCTGAAGGAAGAATTAGGGATAAGACACAAAAGCGAATTATGCATCTTTTTGAGAATTAATCAAAAAACCGTTTTCTGAAAAGCCCTAAAGTATGAGGTTGTTGAACGGTGACGGTGCAGATGTCTTGTTTTTTTTGGTGGGGGGGGAGTCTGGAAGGAATTCTGAAAGTAGCCCTCGACAAGCTTTCATAGTGAGAGATAATTTCCGAGTTGTTAAACTGAAGTTTTTGGAAAGTGCGACCCAAGCTTATAGCTTATAAGCTTCTCAACTTCTCTGCTATTTATTTACTTATTTATCTTTATTTATTATCTGTTGCCTATTTGGAGTATATGACACCGTTTAGATACGCTAGATTACTTTCTTCATGATGAAGATCAGGAGCGGCATTTGGGCTACAATTGCAAGCGTAGCGTTGTCAGGGCACGGCACAAGAAGGTTTTTGAGGTGTGGTAATTTTGAGAGTATTACTGTGTTTAAGTTTTTAAGTTCAGTGTTCTGAAATGCTATCGTTTGTACTATTCTTTTTTATTTTACCTATTTCTTCATTTGTGGTGGGTTTTCGATGTATTTTGGGTTTTATACGATCAGTTTCTTATCACCGAGAAGCACAAAGATCAGAAGCGACTCTTAACACGAGCGCAATAGCAAATACCTGGGTAGTTTCTATGCAGACCTCGTTTATTTCAGTGGTAGAATATACACTAAGCTGTCTGGAACAAGCTGTTCCAGGTCCTTGGGTCGTCGCTTTTGTCGCAGTTGTTTTCCCGTAGAATCGGCGGCGAGAACGTGAGCAGCCGACTGTCACTGATTTTTTTATTGGCCCTATCGCTTCTTAATAGTTAGGTTTGACAGCATTTTCCTCTTGACGTCTTCTAGGTCACGTTAAGTCCGAAGAACTGTTGTAGTCAGGGAGAATACTCTCCCATAGGGACCTGCAAAGATGCAGGAGGGGAGGGGGGATCGTGGCGTACTACCCGCAACGATTTGTGTCAAATATGACCGAAAAATGAGTCGTGTGGTACTATCACCGCGTATTTTACGTTTTTCCAGTCGCATATCCCTTCATTCCGCTTGCGTAGATAATTTCACCTTTTGTCTTACGCTGACTTGGATTCATTTAGGATGTCCAGTTCTACATAACACCATCAGTGGAACCGAGTCGTGCAGTGCTAACAAAATTGATCAGACTAGCAGGTGGCACAGTACATGAAGATCGTCCAGCTCCGGCTGATATAGGTGAGGATTCACGCTTATTTTGCTTCATCCAACTTCATTGCTTCGTTTGGAAATTGATTTATGCTATTTCTATTCCTTGCTTATTTATTTGTTTGAGTAAGTTGGTCTCTAACTTTCCCCGTCGAATAAGCTGTTTTTAATGGTAACTACTTGTAGAAATTCCTTGTCACTAATGCCATTTTCTTCTTGACGATTTCAGGGGGTGATTCACAAAGTATGGGACATCATTCACATCTGTGTGTTTCAGCAAGAATTGCTCGCTCCTGTTTAGATTCAGTTTAATTATTTTTTCGCGTTCCGCACATTCATGTTCTTTCTGCCCTCAATTGTTCGATCTGTTTTCCATTCTCTGCTTTTCGAGTTTTTGATTATTTAGCACGATGCATTGAGACGGATGCGCCATACATCGTTATCAGCTGTGAATGTGATTTGCGAATGGTTCAGTACTTGCTGGAGTGCAATTTCCGTGAGTATATTTACTTCCAATCGCGACCTTATTTGCCTTTTTTTCGTGAGCATTTTCAAAGTTCATTTTGTTCCCATCTCCCTATTATCATTTTTTATTTAGGTTTTTCTTTATTTATTTATTTTTATTTATTTGTGTTGTTGTGTATTTTTGTATATTTATTTGTATTTTATTTATTTGTGTACTCTTCTATTTGTTTGTTTATTTATTTACTTATTATGTTGCATAAGGCGGCACACACGCACTTTTTCATGAATTTTCGATCTCATATCGACTGAGCTGATGGGATCTAGCCTGGGCGAAACGACACAGGCTTAGAAAACATCTTTGTGATTTGACAAACTACAAATATGTCATCTTACTGTCTCGCTTGATTTCATCCCTATATTTTCTAATCAGTCTGAGTGTGTACGATACTGTTACGGTATTCTGTAATGTTCTGGTTTCAGCTGTCTACAACACTGATATGATACTGATAGCACTGATGCGTCAAGAACTCGAGCCGCATCCGCTTTATCGAGTAAGCACGGCATCTTTGGCAAGGCCAACGCCAGCACCTTCGTCTCAACCGCCATCGACACCTGGCCATCCGCAATTCCGCTCAACGCCTTCGCAACCACAGCCGCATCGAGTCAAAGCCTAGTTAAAGACGACAAGTCTTGAAGGATTGAAAATCCGTAATTGAACGCCAGAATCGCGTTCGTTGTTGTAATCATTATGGATCTCCTTATACATCGGGTGTGTCCATCATTTCTACGGGTATTATGATATGTTGTAAATAGTGTGGATCAAATAAACATTGGTGATTAAAAAGGGCTGCTGTATTTTGGTTGTTTTCGAAGAATTAAAATTACGTTACATTTCATGCAATAGAGTTGCGAATCGCTGCGAGTTAATGTTGTGGAGTTATCATAAGCAGATGTTTTCTCGGTGAGTTGATCGCGGACAGTTACATTCTATAATTTGGGTAGTCGATGGTAAACGGAGACCAGAAGATTTACAGAAATTACAATCGGGTACGGGAACGCTTGAAGTTGGTCCAGCTTATCTGGACGCATTAGTCTTGAGAAACCGAGCGATACATATTGATCGTGGGACCTGTGGAAAATAGCCACAATAACCTATAATTGGTGATTTTTTTATAGAAATGCTAAAATTATAATCAGCTCTTCGCATTTTTTAATTCCTCTGTCGTCAAGGGGGAGGGGGGGGAAAGTGGTATATTGGCTTTTCGCTCACCGTGCATAGGGTTGAGATCCTGGATCGAGTCCCTCCGTAGCCACAGGTCTTTCATTCCTCCTGGGTCTGTTAAATCGTAACGGATTCGTTTGCAGGAATAAAATCTCTGATCTGTACTGTCATCACTTTCGCCACTCGCCATTTTCTGAAGTCGCATTTCTTACAACGATACAATAGTGGAAGCAAGATGCGTGGTGTAACCTAAAATTGATGATCGTTTTTTTTCATTACAAATCGGCGCTCATTTTATTTGCGGGGACACTGAAGTGCGTGAGCCACTTTCAGAACTTGGGGATAATTAAAGGAATCTTCCGCGGAAAAAGCTCCGCCTCCATTACCACAGAAAAACGATACCCCTTAGGCCCCTAGCCTCATGAGCATAGCAAAAAGAACGGAACATAAGCGTTAGTTTCGATAATACTAATCCTACACACAAGACAAAATGATCACTCTTTCCGTGGAAGATTCCTTTAAGGTATCGTTTTCTGTGGTAATGAGGGCGGAGCTTTTTCCGTGGAAGATTCCTTTAAGATAAGCCTAAGCCTCAGGGAGGGGAAGGGATCTGGGAGAGGACATGGGCAACCTTCTGTTCCTCCTGGCGTTTCTTCCTTCTCGTGGGCTTAGTCTTACCATTAGTGTCACCTACCTTAAGTGCCATGTTTTGAATGCCCCCAAGGCCATGAGCGCCCCCAAAATTCTGATTTCGGGGCAGCATTGCAGTCTGAATTAGTAATGAAGTAAAGTCAAAGATGAATAGTAAAGAACTCCTGAACATAGCTGGATGTGGCCCAAGTAGAGCATCTCCTTATCCCTGTGCTGTCTCGTGTACTGTGCCACGAGTGCCTTTCTCCCAGAGAGAGGCATCATTATCAAAGTGACAGAATGAAACGCGAAATATGTAATAGCCTAAGAGGCATCCAGGCCTACTTGTCCTCTGGCCTTGTTTGGAAGTCTACGTGCCATCCCGTTCCCCTTAGAATTACATAGGCATTCAAAGAGCTC